TAATTATTATACTTAACACGTTCCATGCCAGACCGTTTTTTGAAGACTTTCCGTTCAGGTCGCGTGGGGCGTATGCGCTGGTGTTATAATATGATACTTGATAATTATTTGATAATGTTTACATTGATATTATAATGTAACCTACTTGATAATTATCTGATAATTATTTGATAATTTTTTCATTGATATTATAATATAACACATTTGATAATTATTTTATAATGTCTTTCATTGATATTATAATATAACATACTTGATAATTATTTGACAATGTTTTTCATTTATATTATACTATAACATACTTGATTATTTGATAATATTTACATTCACATTGTAATATAACATATTTAAAAATTACTTGATAATTTCATTCGCATTACAATATAACATACTTGATAATTATTAAATAATTCTTAAATTCACATTATAATACAACATACTTCATAATCATTTAATAATTTTTACATTCACATTATAACACAATATACTTGATAATCATTTAATAATCTTTACATTTGCATTACAGTACGACACATTTCAAAATTACTGAACACTAATGAGAGTGACAAAATAATTCTGCCAGTGTTTACATAACAAGATAACAGCAGAATAAACAAACGTTGACGTAATTGAATCGCGCGAGATGAAACCGCTTGATATTTCGCACATGCCGCAAAGTCAAGTTAAACGGAACACCAGGCTCGCTTTCCGTAAGATGTCGCCTCGATCCTTATCCGATGTTACTTATTACGTTCGGTGCGTTACTAATTACACTGTAGAAGAAATTTGAACTTTTCCTGTGTCTCTCAATAACCACTAGGCGATGCTTATAGAGTTCCTTACTCTAAATACGAATCCGAAAACCAAATTGCTGAGTCACGTCCCGTTTTCGACGAAAATGGGTTTTTGTGAAAGCGGTCGAATTTTTGGAAGAAACAAGTGTTACGTGGAAACTAGAAACGATACGCGGTTCAAATTTGTTGAAAAAGTAGAGGAGAGATGCTCGAATGTGTAGCTATAAAGATTTTAATGTGGCGTGTCATTGAATGCTTGTAAATGATGATCAAAGTTCAAAAACGGGTGGATGCGAGGGTAAATTGATACTCGAAAGATAATAAAATTTCTACCGGCCATCTTGACTGATTCGATAGTTTTAGTGTTAATCATCGTAATAATATTACTCGTATATGTGTATTCACGTATTAAACAGCAAATTATTTGAAACAGAACGATCGTGAAAAGCTTTCTCATAACTATTATGAAAATTTATAAAACAATTAAACATTATACAGTAAGAAGCATAACTGAACCAATGACCACAAGTTCTGTGTAAATCATTATTCATTGCTAGGAGTATATAAGAATAACAAGAAATCAACATTATAATTATTTTTATCGTAGTTAGAGGTAACTCAAGAAATTTTTTTCATTGATTAATTCCTCGTTTAGCAACGGCAAGGGAAATAGATTGAATCGGTTTTGCACCGATCGGGAAAAGAAATGTTTACGTAGAATGTTTACATCTAGCATTTTGGTATATTTACGAAATATTATACTACGTCTTAACACTCAGTTCTTCGCAATCAGTCGAACGGAAAAGTACGCGAGTGAAGTAAGAACAAATATGAAATCAATCGCTCGAAACTGTTTGAAAACGTCATTTCTCTTTCGAGTAACGGCTTGTCGACGCGTAAGACAGCGGAAAATTGCAGTGTCAGTCAATCGACAATGCAGAGAACAAGAAAATACTGCAAAAATACATTCAATGTTGGAGGAAGACCAAAAAGTTATCACCGCAGGGTGAACGAAGGATTATACGGTTTGTCGCGTCTGGCTGCAAAATTATTGACCAGTTAAGTGTATTTGACGACTACAATATAGAAATGTTTTCATATAATTGTCGTTTCATTGAGTGAACTATAGCAATTCGATTTGGTCGTTCATGGCATTCAACGTGTTAAGGACGCAAGAAGGCGCTTTTCAGATATTCCTCGTATCGTAAAACCTTCTCGGGTTAATCTCAGCAGCATTAGACATCAGCTGCGTGACAGTACACGCGGAAGAGTTATTAACGTCGGATAACCGCGGTTTCCGCCGTGTACCGTGATTCGAAGAAACATGGGCCCGATAAAACGGCTGACGCATCGCGGCGTCTCAAAAACCGTCGAGAACGCGGTTCTAAATCTACGTTGGATTATAATTTATTATTTTTCTGGGGAAACGTGTAGGCTGCTCGTTCGGAGATTAGAGATTTGTGAATTTATCGTGTTTCAACATGTTGACTGCCACGGTGTTACCGATGATCGGAGCTTCTAAATTGTTTGAGAACAATTAGAGTAAGAAAATTCATGTGAAATAAAGATATATTACTAAAAATCTTCATTTCATATGAATTTTCTTACTGTAATCGTTCTCAAATAATTTAATCACTTATATTACTAAATAAGTGAGTAAATAATAATACGAGTAGTTCGATGCCGAATTGTTAATAATTATTTGTAACCCCATTTGCCTTTGTTATGAATTTCATTACACCAAATAGAGTGATGAGAATTTTTCACTGAATTTGTAATATTATTATAAGTTTAGTAGATTTAATTAAGTATGAATGAAATATGTGTTTATTAATTACTTATTTATTATTCTTAGCAATTAGAATAATTAATTTCTTATTTAATGATTATAAATTAAAGGAAAGTCAAGCTACTTTAGTTTCTTTCATTAAATTTTGTATTAAATTCATTTCTCTTTATTTATAATAAGTGTATTATAAATTTATTCATCCTTTTTAAATAATAAATTGATTTATTTAAATTAATATTTATTCATATTCTTAATTATAAATATGACAAATGTATGTTCTGTCTTTAACCCGACATCATATCCGATAAATTGGATTTGAATCGGATATTCTTCTGTTATCAATTATTATTTAATCCTCCCATTCATGGAAACTGCGCATTTCTATGGGTGTCATATTTTTTAAGTCTCTTAAGCGTGAAGAGGCACGATAAAGCACGATGATTCCATTTACAGTGTCATTTCTTTATGTTAGAAATTATACACGATAAACGTATATAAACGTATTAAATTATATATAATAAATAAAGAAGTGTCGTTATTTATTAACCCCAACAGTTTTGAATAAAAACACTGACTTCGTCGCAAAATTCGCTGTGCGTCGTCGGGTGTCGCGCAACCCGCCATCTTGTCGCACGGCACAGGCGCCAGAGCCTTAGCGAGCGTGACCAACCGAACTTTCGACGCCAATAAGACAACCTATCTAGCCCCGCCCTGCGCCCTATGTCAACCGAAACTCCGTATAAAAGGTCTTAGCTAGTCTTGAACTAGGTTTTGAATAAAAACGCCTACTTCGTTAGAAGACTCGTTGATTCCACGGAACCTCCTATAATTGTGATAGAATCCTACAGGAAAAGCGAAGCATACATCGTATGTTCTCGAACCTACTGAGATTCTTTTGCGATCTGAACCTTTAACTTTAGTGTTAACGACGATATATTGTTAGCAACAATTTGTGATAGGGGATTACAGGGTGTACGCATTAGCGAGCATCAGTAAATAAATTATTTACACATTCTCGATAGCCAGGTGACTGAATATAAATGTTTAGAATAATATCAAGGTTTTTTTTAGTAACATACTGGCGCTTGCAAATTATTTAATTTTGTGGCTGGATATTAGTTATTTATATATAGAATCGTTGAAACTGCTATATTTATACTTCATACTATGAGATATATATAAAACTACGAGCAAACGATGATTTTTCTTATGCTACGGAACAAAAAGATAGCACGCTCTTTATTTTCTAATATGTTGTATTATAAATTGTAAGAAATATATATTGTATTTTATCAATTACTTCGGGCAGATCTGTATGTATAACCTGCTAAATATCGTCCACACTCGCTTTAACAAAATTCTGCGAACGCAAATGTAAATATTATAGTTTACAAGTGGGACAAAATGATAGCACATTTGAGGAGAAACTTAACATATAAACAAATTTGTAAATAATATTTACTATTTTGTGAGACCTTCTTTACATTTAATGATAGCAATTATCCTTCTCGGTAAAGATTTATATGATTTTTGAATACTTTTTTGTCTTAATTTCTCTCATTCCACTTGAATACATCGTCACTCAAATTTGTAATATCTATATTTGTAATATCTATACTTCTAATATTTTTATTTGAAGTATTTATTTTTGAAGTATTTATATTTGTAATATCTATATTTGTAATAGTTATGTTTGTAATATTTATATTTCTAATATCTATATTTCTAATATCCATATTTGTAATATCTACATTTGTAACACTTATATTTCTAATAATTATATTTCAATTATGTATTAATATTTATTATTATACAATTATGTATAAATATTTCACTTAACATTATTTTTCTGAGGAAATCGTGTAAACTGCTCGTTCACAGATTAGAGATTTTCTTTCTGTGAACTTATTGTCTTTTAAGTTCTTTTTCGGAAGTTTCTTTTTATTAATTTAACGGTAATCCAAGATAAATTAGAAAATTTCAAAGAAAAATTCGAGAAACTTTCGAAATTTGACACGATTATAGCGCCAAGTTAAGGCAGGCCGAATCAACCACGCGGCATTTCGGTCGTGTTAAATTCATTCATTAATTTTTAATTCAATGAATTTAACGAGAGAAAAAAGAACTCTTGAGAACGAGGTGTTCGAGGAGTCGGAAGGAATTTTGTATACAGCGGCATAGCTGATTGAACGTAACAAGATTTTATATGCGACAATTCGTTTGTCGAAACTTTAAATGCATTTTTCTCGAAAAAAAGAAATGTAATTGAATAAAGTTACTATATCATCACATAATTAAAAAATAAATGTAATTAAATAAAATTATCATTCTATAATTATATAATTGAAAAAGAAATGTAGTTAAATAAGTTATCATTATATAATTAAAAAATAAATTTAATTAAATAAAGTCACTATTATATAATCATATAATTAAGATAGAAATGTAATTAAATAAAATTATTATTATACAATTATTTTCATTCATATATTAATTTACATATATTTTATAATACAATAATTCTCCCTTTTCATTTTTGCTAACGTAAGAATAAATGGTACAAAAGATGTTCCTTTTGTCACAATAGTCAACGTGTTAAATAAAAAACACAGCCATACAATATAATTACAATTACATTTATATATTCATAACCAAATTGACAATTGCACTTATAACCTAACAAACCACTGACACAAAGGTTGCCACGTCCGATTCCAACCTAAAAAGATCGTGCTCCGACGTCATTCAATTATTCAGCAAACGCGAAAGCGAGGTTAGCTTCTTCGTTGAATACCGACGAGTCAATTGACTTGAATGTCCATTGTGCTGATAATAAGTTAGCGGAAGAATTGGAGCAAATAACGAGCGGTACGCGCCACGCAATTACCTTTGTAACATAGATAGCAGTCTGCATTGTACATTCGTGATCAAGTAATTCAAGTACATTTCTTAGAAATTTTTATGTTTACCGTTCCAAAAATGTCCCAATCGAGTTTCAAGCTGATACACTTGTTATCTTCAACGACAAACATGTTAATTTTGAAGTCACATCAGTATAGGTTAAATTGATTTAATTTTTTATCGCGAAATGACGAGTGACATTAAATAATTGATTAACTGAAAAATATATTAAAGGATGTATTAAATTATTTAATTGTGTTGCGTTGTTGTTACTGGACGTTTTATTAATGCTGAATTAGATAGAATTAAATTAGACGTTAATGTTAACCCTCTATAGGTCAAATTGATTTATTCAATATTTTATTGTAAAATGACGAGTGACATTGAATAATTAATCGACTTAAGCTTTTTTACAGAGGCGTTCACGTTCGACGTCATTGTAATTTTGAGATTACAAAATATATTCGTTTTAATAAAATTATTAAAATCATCGAATACATTGTTAATTTGTGTTCGTATGTTGATATTTATTAATTTCATACTGCATCAATTTTGTTACAATCACGAAATAAAATTTCGCCCATAGAGAGTTAACCTCTTGTTTTATAATAACCTGTCAAACTTGTGGTAAAGATTTTAAATATAATTTAATAAACATAATTATTGCGCAATTTTTGTAAATTTAAAACCACTAAACGTGGTTATATCGATCATGGCTGAGGAAGAAATTATAGAGCAGGGATTTAACAGAACACGAGATGTTATCTCTTTACACTCTGGAGGTAACTCTCAGTTACCACGTGGCTCGACACAGTAAAATTATAAAGTTTGATGTTTAACACATTCCGCGCCACGAAAACTTCGATTACACTTTACTCGTGAACTGTATTGACTTTTTAAATAAAATAATAAGTTATATTCAGATTTTTAGTAATTTTTATATATTTTAATATTGCTTCTTTGTTTTCACTGCATGTAACATATACCATTATCCGTGGCCACGTATATTAAAAATATTTTCTTACAAAAATTGTGGGCGTTGGCACGTGTTAATATTGAACCTTGTGTAATGCGTCACTATGTGAAATCTCATGGTAAATTACTTTTGCCCCTTGCTTTATCTAATTAGTTACATTAGTGCGACAAACATCGTCTAAATTTTATAGAAAAAAGTGTTAACTATTTATAGCAAAAAACTTTGAGTGTTCCCTTTAAGTTTGCAGCAACTCGTAGTTATTTCGAGTCTCTAAACTAGGATAACACTCCAACTTTATTTGTACACTACATTATCATCCGTCGTATTTGCAGAATCTCTTAGCCATTGACGGAGTCTCGTGAACAAATTATTTTTTCGTTGCCACGTATGTTGTAAATTGTCATGTGACACATACTTATTTAAGGAAGAATTTTCATCGTGCTTTAAATACACTCGAACGGAGTCGATGATAAAAATATTTACTCTCTTTTGAAAATATTAATTTTTATATTTGTATTTCATATTATTTTATATTTTATATTTTATATTTTATATTTTATATTTTATATCTTATATCTTATATCTTATATCTTATATCTTATATCTTATATCTTATATCTTATATCTTATATCTTATATCTTATATCTTATATCTTATATCTTATATCTTATATCTTATATCTTATATCTTATATCTTATATCTTATATCTT